CATTTCTTGGTGCACTGTTGCAAAAGTGAGATCAGAAGAGTTGGTGTTAACCCTGTCTGAAGAACTGATTGAGTCACTTCACTTCCTTGTGATGGAGTTTCAGAAAGCTTCAGAGTTCAAGTGTTTGGCCTGAAATCCATGTGGTTGGTCTTGGGGTTATGTTTGGACTACTGTCACTGCTAATGCACACACAGTGTGAATGGTTCCTGTGGGGCAGGAATTGTCAACACCTTCTTGTGAGTCAACCTGTCCAGTTAAACCCCGTACCTCCTTTCTTCCCAGGCACAGCAGGAACCTCTCACCAGGGTGTCACAGGCAAGGTTATCAGCACCAGGTTATCCAGGATGCTCCTGGTTGATCAGCTTTGGTTTCTCCATCATCCTTTCCACTGGAATAGTTTATGGGTGCTAGAGCACTCAGGGAGTTTGTGTAACAGAGGTATGGTACACAGTGTTGATGTTTTGGACCCCAGCTTGTTTGGACCCCAAAATTACACAGAGATGAGGCTTCTTGCAGTGAGATTGTAGCTGAAACATACTTGTCTACCCTGATCAGGGTTTAGCTATGGAACAGCAATGACAGCCCATTATGCAGTATTTTCTTCGGATGGGCAATCTTAAGTGCTTTGTATACATTATTCTTAGTTGCATTCTGACAATGTGTCTGCTGCTTCTGCACTAAAGCAAAGCAGTCCAAAATATGAGGGGTGCTGGAAGTGAGGTTGGGAGAACACTACTGGAACTGGGCAGGGGAGGGGTCCTGCTCTGTTTATTCATGTCTGGACTGGGTCACAACCACTGTGACTCTTCAGATTCACTTTTTTTTTCCCTTGTTTCATGCCCAGGCAGAGATTGTGAAGTGACACAGAAGGCAGGGCATTTTTAAGAACACATGCATTATAAATCATAGTATCAGAGAATGATCCTATCCTTTGTGTTGGAAGGAACCATAAAGATCATCTAGTTACAGTCCCCCTGCTGTGGACAAACATATACATACATTTTTTACCTGTGGAGTTGTTTCATTTAGATCACCAGAAGAGGGGTGAAAAAATTAATGCAGTTGTCCTTGCTTATGTTTTGGCTTTACATTTTTTTCTGTGTCAGGCTGGGTAATTGAAATCCTTGAGGTCAGTCTTACTTTCAGTTCCTCCTTTGCTGTGCAAGTCAGGGATGCTGCAAGGAGAACTCTCTTTTCAAACCATGGTTTTAATTTGAATTTCAAATGACATGGATATGTTTCTGTTGGCCTTGAGTTTAACTGAAGGCTGTTTTTACAAATGGTAGGACCAAGTTAAGGCTGCCACAGGGTTTTGGTTATCTCCTTGCTCTGGCTCTTGGGATGTGCTGCTCCTGAAGCCTGGAGTGCAGAGTGTCCCTCAAGTGTGGAACAGGATGGAGGGCAAAGATTGCCCTGTGGCTGCCAGTGTTGATACCAGCCAGAACTGCAGCCCTGGGTGGAATTTCAGCAGCCACCACTGCTCTCATATGGCCCAGTGGTTAGCTCATACCAGAATATCAGACAGTAGATATCTGCTTCATAAAAGAGGCTGTGCAAACAGAAGAAACTATTTTCTCAGTTTCCTGTGCACCTAGTGACACTACTTTAATGGCACAAACTGTACAACACACATTATTCATGTCTGTTTATCTCTCTGGGGTTTGGCCTTCAAATTGTTTCAGTATCGCACGGCTGCACAGATGTACTCACTGTCCAGCACGACTGGGAAGGAACATAAATCTGTGGTTCACCTTGGCCTGCAGACAGTGCTGAGTTCACTTTCTGACTGGCTATGTTAATCAGGTATCCCACTCTTCCAGCTGCAAATCAGCATTGTGATTAATACTCACAATGAGAGAGCTAATTACTGCTGGCATGTAGCTGTTTTATGTTTCTCTCTTTTCTGGGAGCTAAATCCAACCATATGGAAAAATGTAGCTGAAACACTATAAATATGATTCCACTTAGACAGTCATCTCTTCTGTTTTCTGTTATCACAGCAGTGTCAGCACAAGCAAAACAATGAAAGTGAAGAGATGCTGTTGCAAATTTTATTACAAGTTTGAGGTCTTGGGACTTTTTTTCCCCTTCTTCAAGGACACTGTGTTAATCTGAAGAAAGAGGTCTTGATTTGTGTTCATTTATGCCTGCCACAATTATTTAAGAAATAGCTTCAGTGATCATACTTGAAGAGCTCTGGTTCTTCTTTAACTATTTCTGGCAGCGCTAGAAAGATATGCTTTGTGCTTTGTATCATGACAACTTGTCTTCTCCAATAAGCCACATCTTAAACTGTGTCAGTCCTCTCTACATTCAAAGTAGCTGTCTTCTGTTCATTGCTGTTGGAATGAAGCTGTTGACTGTGTGTCTGCAGTGCAGCCAGCAGCAGCAAGTGAGGATTTCCACAGAAAGAGAAGGCTGTAGCAGTGAACTGCAGATGGGCACCAGGCAGTGATTGAATCCAAACAGCTGGGAATCTTTGGGCAGAGCCACTTCTGATCTTTGTATTGATCTTCATAGGGCTTTCCAAAAAAAAAAAAAAATATCTGCATCTGAGAACCCATTCACAAGGCTGATGTTCTAGTATCAGCCACTGAAACTTTACTGACATGGGAAAAACACAGGCAAATTAAATAAACAGGAGTAGGAATATCTTTTATAATATTCTGAATCTTTGCAAGATTGTTATAAAGTAGAGACTGTCTTCTGAAAACAGCAAACAGTTCTCCCCAAAGCCACTTCTTTGTGCGGGGTTTTTAGACTATTTCTAAACTATTTTGTCAAGCATTCATAGGCTGGATTAGCAAATGTGACTTTACTAAAAGAGGCAGATGTCAAGGATGGGTTTCCAAAACACTGTGATGAAGATGTTTAGGTGAGTAGCAAGAGGAAAAGGCCTTTGTGCTTCTGCTTCCCATGAAATCTAACGGAGAGCATCCTGCCATAGTTTAGGGTTCTGCGGGAAGTGAGAAAATCTGGAAAGAAACAGAAAAATAACTGCTGCGATGGAGGCAGGAGAGCTCTTCCTTTCTTTACATGACTATTGTCGCAGTTTTGCCTTGCAATGGGTGCCTCAAATAGCTATTCATTGGTCTTTTGAAGTAGTTGACCAATCTTCTCTTCCATAAGAATACTTTCCTCTGAAATGCCTCATTTTGCTTGTGAAAAGTTTCAGAAATAACTTCTGTTACAGCCATTTCTATCCAAGCCTTAAAGCACATACATAACCCTTACACAGTGGCATCAATATGACAGAGTTTGGTTTGGGTATTTTTTCCTTCTTTAAGATAGAAGTTGCCAGAAGCAGCATGAAGTAAATGATGGTAAACCATAATCTAGTGCCAAAAAAAGGTTCTAATTAATTGTCTGATCAAAAGTCAGTACCATGATAGAAATTAAACTGCTACTCTGAAGCTGGTACAGAGAGCTTGATGACATAGCCTCATATCATCTTTTTATCTCAGGAAGTGCTTCCATAATCACTTCTCTTCCAAGTCTTCTGTTCAGTGTACTATTTCTTTTTGTGACACTTAACCCACTAGTGTTGTGTACTGTATGTATTATGCATTGCTTTTTGAGCATGCCATATATTACAAAGAGTTTTCTATCCCTAAGGGTTTCTGCAGCTATTTCTGTGAGTTTGTCCTACAGGGCACTTTCATGAAAGTCATCAGTTAGCCTTCACCATGAAGAAAGGGATAATAGTAACTGAAAGTAGGCCAAGCTCATTAGATTATGATTAAAAGGCAGATTTTTATTTTTTTAATGCACTGAATGTGGTTCTAGTGGGTGGGCACTGAGCAGAAGTGATGCTGGTGAAGTCACAGGTGTTGTGTCCTTGGTCACTCTGTCTTTTCAGTTATTTTATAGCATTAATTGAATACTGACTCATGAAGAGTACAGTGACCTTTGATTTTATTCAAGTGACTTTCTTTTATGAGTCTTAAAAAAGAAATGCCATGCATGGTCCTGCCCTTACTGTCTAGGGTGAATCTAGAGCAGATAGTTGGAAGCATAACTAAGTGTGTTTCAAAGCAGGTTTGTAACTTGCCCCTTATAATGCTGTATTTTCAGCTCTTTTGGGAACATGTGTTGCTCCACTAGAAACAGAAGGTTTCCCCTCAGAAGTAGTTTAGAACCTGTCTTGAGGTCCCCAAGCTGGTGAAGTCCCAGGCTGGCCCAAGGACCTTGGCACGAGGTCCCAGCCCCTTGGTGGGAGCTTTGCAGTCCCTCCTCGACCCTGGTGAGGCTGCAGGGTCAGTGGGACCCCCTACCCCTACTTGCACCTCTTCCTCTGCCAAGGCAATGACCTGCCTATTTTAGTGTCTCAGCTGAGCTGGAATAGCAGAGTTGGCAACTTCATCTCTGTTGTTGAATAGAAAACAGTTCATCAGATGCAGTTCAAGTAGTAAATGGTCTGTACAGGCACCACGTGGGGCCTGGATTCCTGCAGCCCCCAGGTGTCCAGCTCCCACCTGCAGCCCTCCCTTCATGGTTTGCTCTGGTCTCCACAGACACAGTGCCATGCTCCACATGTGACCACGTTGGTGACTGGGAGGGTTTTTCAGGAGGCAGGACTAGGTAAAGGTGCCTTTTATTTCACTAGCAGATCTGGAGAAGGGTCAGGCCTTATCCTGCTCTCCTTCATCAATCACAGGCAAGTAGGAAATTACAGATTGTAGCCTCTCGTTTAATTAGCCACCTGCTATTCTTGTCCTCTTGCATCCACAGTAACAATTTATACACATAAGAATATACACAAGGCTGAGGCTGTCTATTTTTCCTTGACCAGCAGTGCTCTTCCCAGGTAAGGTAGTAACTCACCTCCTTTGAATCACACACTGACATTTTTCCCTCTTGTTCCAACCATATTTCACTGGTCACCATGATCATCACAGGTTGTACTCCAAGTGCTTCCTTGGAACCAGAGAATGTCCATAAGTATGCAGCATTTAAACATAACTTGCTATCATGTCTCTCTTTCCCTCCCTTCTCCTCAGATGTAAAGGAGCATCCCACTATGGCCTTACCAAGGAACGGAAGAGGCGTTCCCAGGACTGCTCTCCAGACCGTGGCTCCAGCTTGGCAGTGGCTGCCCTGGGCCCTGAGCTCTCAGCAGCTGCAGCCATCGCCTTAATGACAGATGAGCCAGGGCTGGTGAACCCGGCCTTCAGCCCCACCTCAGAGGACAGCCAGCTGGGCAGCAGCCCCGGGGACCTGCACCGCAGCAACCGCAACCGGAGTAAGAGCCAAAAATGGCAGCTTCAGAGCCTGCTAGCCCCTTGCAACATTCGTTTTTATGTTAAAAATGTGTCACTGGAGGATTAAAAAAATTAAAAAAGAAAAAGAAAAGCGGTGGGGAAAGTGAAAGCTTTCATTTTTCATGGTTTATCAAATTGCGCACTCAATGACCCAATAGATTTGAGGTGAAAAAAAATGTCTTGGCCAGGGGTGGGATCAAGCTGAAAATGGACTACCTGTACACATGTAAACTGCAAATCTTTATAAAGATTATTTAGGTAAGTCAGCTCAGTTGGAAGATTAAATGTTATGTGATGGGCTGGGGAGATGGTGTAGCTGGATAATGTGTCTCCACTAAATGTTGGTGGCCCAAGTAATGCCCACAGACATGGACACCTACCCAAAATCCTATTTGGAACTGTGTTACCCATTTGCCAAGTATTTTCAGGAAAACAAACCCTTAAGAATTGCCTTAGGAGCCTGGGGAACATCTGCCAGCTTCTTGGGAAGGTGCAGTTTGGAGGAGCTGGTCCTGCTGAAATAACAACAGTCAGGGACGAGCTGCATCAGGAGACTTTGCCTTGATCTTTCACCTTGTGACACTTCACCAGTCTCTGATGAGTGTCATGTTTGAAAAACAGGGCCTGGCCAAAGCTAGAGTCAGAAGTGTTAATGGTGAGTTCAACGCATATATTTGAAGATTCTGAATCTAAAATGGAAAAAGCCCACCTTGTGTGCTGCCAGTTGCATATGGGGAAGATGGATGAAGGGATGAAGAAAGACTAGGAAATGAGAAGCATTATCCTTTTGTTGTGCCAGGGTTTGGAGAGGTGAGGAAAGGAAGGGTGCAAGAAGAGAGCACCAGAATCTCAATAAATTCTGTCAGTTTTATTGAGTGTAGAGGCCACAGTCTGGTTTGAGGGAATGTTGTATTATTAGATTACAATATTTGGCTAGCATGCAGAGCTGGAACAGACAGAACAGCCACAACCATGAAGATATCTTTAGCAGGATGGAAAAGAGTGACATGTTTTGAAAGTATTATGACTTTTCTTTTGTATTGCTGTACCCGAGTCAGAATATGTGAGGTTTTGATCCCTCCCACCTGATGATAATATCTGAATTTTTTGACATGGAACAGTTGGCAATCATTGGTGGCTTTAGAAGCATTGCAAGGTTTTGAGACAGAAGTAGTAGTATGGATTTTGTCAAGAAGAGTTTTTAATGACTTCCAGCTTTTTTTGGTCAAACATGTATAGCTGAGAAAATATGTATTTTTCACAGAATTTCTGGTAATTCTGTCTTGATGGAGGATTATTCTTTCCAAAGCTACCACACTCACAGGAGATTTTTCCATGTGATTAGCAAAACAGACAGGAAGGAGGCAATTCGAGGGTGTGGGACTGAGGTAGGGTGATTGTACCCAGATTCAGGTGGGTGCAACCTTGAAGTATCAGCAGACTCAGGGTCAAAGGTGAAGCACAGGCAGCCCTGATGTTGATGTTACATCCCATCATATGCCAGGGGCTGCAGAAATGCTGTGGTTCTAGAGCAGAACTGCTGAACTGTACTGATTTGGTTTTTTTCCTGCTGTTGCAGCTCGACACTTTGAACGTTCCACTATAAGAAGCAGATCTTTTAAAAAAATAAACAAAGCGTTCAGCGTTCTTCGAAGGACAAAAAGTGGAAGTGCTGTTTCCAACCAGACTGACCGGGAAAGGGAGACTGTTGGAAACTCTGCTGCTGGAGAGGAAGGTAATGTTTTGTTCATCTTGTGGTATCACTCAAAAGGGGGTAGGGAGCCCTGTCCACGTGGGAGCTGGATATCCATGACTGATGTGCCTTTCATGTGGTGGGCTGTGCGTGATTAAAACAAACAAACCAGAAAACACAATCTTTCCTTATTTTCTTCTTTCAAAAGATGTTACTGACTGGCAGGCAAGAATATTGCTGGGGTGTGTGGGACCTCACGTAGGGCTGTTCTGGTAACAGCCTGCGTGCTGTAGCCAGCCCAGGATCTAGCCCACGGGATGTGGGATCTGGGCATCTGGGATCTGTTACTGGAGCTGTCATTGATTTGCTCTGTAATTTTGTTCAAGTGTCTCCATTGGCACGTGCCTGTCCCTCTAAAGCAAATGGATCACAATAATCATACTTTAGAAGAACTTAATGAGTTTTGGCTAATGTTTATGAAGCACTGGAAATTCCCAGTGGGAGGATGGTATGGAAGTGCAAAGTACTGTAATTATTCTGCATTTCTGTGGGCTCCTTTATTACCTCAGCCAGGCAGGTGATGAGGTAAGAATGCTCTGCTCTTAAGCAGCAGGGAGAGGCAAGTTTGTCTGATGTATGTCAGGGATGAGGGGTCTGGGAGGTAGTAACACTTAACATTTGGCATTCTCAAAGCAATAAGCAAATGTTACTAATCAGTTTGGACCATAATTATGATACCAACAATGGCATTCATGCATCAAGAGGAAGTGATGATAGAGTGGGAATCAATGTCTAATCAAGGTCTCCACTCACCTTATTATTCCTTTGCTTGATACCTCAGCACCTCATGTCTCTTCCCAGATCAAATGTTCAGAATGCAGGCTTTCAGAATACAAAATACCCAACTTCCTTTTGCTCTGTATTCAAGTTCTCATTGAAACACACACAAAATAAGCACAAAAGGCTGCCAAATGCTAGTTTCAAGCATCATTGTGATGCCATTGTGAATAGTGGTGAATTGGAGAACCATGTTCAATATACTTCTGCTTTATTTGCCCATTCTTTCAGGAGAGTTTCACTATGTTACTGTGGTACTTACTCTCTTACTTCACATACTTGCTGACAGAGCCAAAATAAAACCTGGTAATTCAAAACTGTGAACCTTCTCCATAAAAGGGATGGGAATATACTCCTTGACCTGGAAACATCATGAATAATTTTACTATATTTTAAAATAATTTAAAATAATTTTTATTATTAAAAATAATACTCTTTTTTTCCCAAGTAAAATTTTACAAGTTGTTTAGATCTCTGTTTGAGCAGGCAGATAGATTTCTCGTTCTATAGTAACACTTCAATTCACTGTGAGCAAAAGCTTGCCTTTTTTTAGAAGAAGTGAAATTCTCCATGCCTCAACTTCATATTTTTTCAAAAGACATCCCTTCAGGATGACATACAGACCACTTTCTACCTAGACATATAGCTGACATCAGTAATAGCTCCACTGAATTCTTGGTTTCACGTCCAGGGTGTGCAAATAATCTGGATGTCAACAGCACCTATCCAGTAGCCCAGTGCAGTCCAGATGTTAGCAGAAGTTAGCAGAAAGGTGTGAAGATGTCACTGGCCTTTACATTCCCAGCAAGAGAAAATCATAGTTGTCTCTGTAAGGGATGTATAATGGCAATCACTCCAGGGCCCCACTGACAGTGTCAGGATTGTCAGTGTCTCCTTGTCTCTGCTTGTGGTTTCATTCCTCTGCACCCAGCACGCCTGTAAACTTCCAAATGTATTCTGCTGCACTGGAAAAACCAGGTAGGCATATAATTACTTAATAAGCAGTTACTCTTAAGTATGAGATCACAGAAGCTGGGTACCTAAATTACTTTATTAATTACATTTGCAAAGAATGCCTTTTGATTACACAGTTCTGGAAATTGATCTTTAAAAAATGCAAGCAAGTAACTTGAAGAAATACAACTTGAACAAAGATTGCAATTCAGTCCTTTGCAACAGGTGCTTTGTGTAATGGCATCTCAAAGGCTTTCTCTGTTTCTTCTCCGAGGAGGGAATGAATGTACTTCTTTCTGTAGCAGTTATCATCATCCTGCCAGCTGGGGGCTGGTTTTCTTCTCCAGTTCTGTATGTTTTCTTCTTTTATTTATTTTTTTAAACCTCAGCTGCTCTGAGCAGTCTGCAGCTAGATTTCTGATCAGAGCTGTTGGTCAGTCTTTAGGGATAGCTGCTGTATGCTCTGCCCTGTGCTCACTGAGAGTCACACATATTGAAGAAAAGGGAGCCCTGTGTATCTGTCTCACCATTGCCACACCACTCTCCTGGGAATGGAGGTGCTCCTGTGGGGGTGAATGAGGTGGTTCCTCACTTCAGAGGTCCCCACATCCAGTGGGAAAGGTGCTGCTGCCTTTCACAAAGTTTCACAGGTTTGTGTCTGGGACCATCTGAGAAAAGAACTGAGCCATGACTCATTGCCCCAGGAGATGAGGCAGCACTTCATCTACTCTCTGGTGACCACTTTCCTCACCAGGTTGGGTCAGTCCATGAGCAGAATAAAGCTGAGACTATACCAGCCTCACAGAGTGAATAAGCCCCTTCTTGCTGATAACCTCTCCTTGATAAAGGAGAGGTGAGATCATCTGGCAAAGCTCAATGTATAATTCATCTGACTCCAGTTTTCAGAATATCCTCATCTTAATTCACATGTCTCTGTTTAATCTGTTTTGCCTGTATTTTGGTCAATGGAGCTCTGAGAATGAACACCACAACAAGTAGCCATGTATTAGCCTTCAGCAACCCTTCATTAAGGGTGTGTGGGTGCATTTAATCTGAAGCTGCTATGTTGGTTGAGCCAGTGCTCAGTTGCAATATGACTGTGAGGGTACAAGGCAAAATAATGGTTTCTGATGAGGAAGAAAAAACATTCAAATTCTTCTTAACTTGAAGCTGAATCTAGAACTGGTTTTGGAAAAAACTGACACCCAGGGACATTGCATCATATGGTGTATAATATCAAATGTGTTTCTGTTATAATTACAGCAGAGAAATAGTTACAGTCCAATGCTATCTTATACCTTATAAAAAAATATGAATTTGTTTAAACAACGTTATATGTGCTCATTTTGGATTTAAATGATTCAGGCTTTCTTTCTCTGTTTTTGTGGCATTTTCAGCAGAGAGTTGTTAAATGTCCAAACCAAAGAAAATGTTAGAGGTGAATGAAAAGAGCAAACACTAATGAGAAAATATTTAGGGGGAAGGAGCTGTAAAGATTTTCTTATTTTTAATACTTTGTTATTTCTAAAATCCTGTGCAAAGAAATATTTGTCTGCAGGCAGCACCCAAGCTTGTGATATTTATCTGAGAGCAATTTCATTAACAGCATTTACAGTTAGAAATAGCTTTCCAGGTCTGAAGTAGAAGTTTAGAAAGTTTAAGAGAAAGAGTTGCACTCCGAGATGTGAGGGAAGGTGACAGGGACATGTTTAAGGCACTGATGCATTTAAGATGTAATATCTTCTGATTAGATCTACTAGTGTAAATGACCTTGACAATCTATTTAAGTGATAAAATATTTCCAAACAAAGAGTGCTCCAGCTTTGCTATGCTTATTTGTATCACTGTGCTCTTAGTTTGGCTTCACACCTTAAATTCAGTTCCAAGAAGGACTATAGATGTACTCTTTACTCAAACTGATCTACAAATACAAATTGTGAACCAGCTAATGTTTTAGGAGCAAAGAATTTGCAGGTACAATTTAAAAAACTTCCTTACAGTTTTCGAGTAAAAGAACTGTGTTTTTGACTTCCAAAAACTTTAATTGATTTCATTTTGCAGTCAAGTCATTGTAAAAGAAATTTAATATAGGATTGCTTGAGGATGGCAAATGTTTTTCAAAGTCAAACTCAGTCTCATAGTGGATGCAGTTCTACCATCTGGCATTGCTTTGCAGCAGTCAAGACCAAGGCAGCCCCAGCAGGCACTGGCAGAACCACAGAACACAGAACAAGCTTCCCTCTGGCACTGTTCAGTGTGAACCCCTGTTATTTTTGAGAGATATATATACACATACATATATATGATAGATAGATAGATAGATAGATAGATAGATAGATAACATAAATACTTCAGTGTTTGGAAAAGCGCGTGAAGAAAAAGAAGGTAAGTGAAACACAGATGGTATCAACCATTTCATGGCATTAAGGCTCCCTGTATGCAGAAAAAAAAGTGGTTTATCCAGCCCCAGGACAAGACAGTGCAGCCCAACCTCTGTCTCAGGAAGGCTGCACCTCACAGAAATCCCACACTGTTCCTATTTTTCTCAGATTTGATTCAGCTGCCATTCTGATTTCCCAAAGCAGCTGTTGCAGAACTGGTTCAAAGTACTCTGCTCTGGAACGAAGAGCCAGGCAATTTCCCGAAGAAAGAGATTGTCTCTATAGCACTTCCTCTACTGCAGACTGATGAATTTGCCTGCTGTATTTGAGAGTCACAACTCTTTAGATACACAGTCAACTCAGCAACAGTTTCATTTTAGCTCTTTTGGGATTCCTTTGGTGAGAGGAATGTCCAGAAGCAAGAAGAGAGATTAGAACTGGCATCACCTTCTACGTGTTCCTCCATTGGAGAAGCATCACTGGGGAATTAATGGAAGGCATAAAATCAAAATGATGGCAAACCTTTGGGAGAATGGCATGATAAATGAAAATCTATTGGGAAGGAAAATTTGCAGAATAAAGCTCCCCACCAGCACAAGGGCATGTGATACTTACAGACACATTAATTTTCCAAGACTAGGTTACACAAGCTTAATTTAAATTCTGGTGTCCAGATGCTGGGAAGGATGAATGTGTGCTGCTGCAGATGGTCCTATTTGTGGGGGTGAGCTGGCACATTACGCAGGCTGCCTGATCTAAATGAGGACTTGCAACCACAGATACAAGTTTTCTTTACAGTGACCTTTGATTAATTTGGACCCCAGAGTCACAGCAAACATTGCACATTGTCACACTGAGTCCTGGGAATGAAGGCAGAAGCTACCCTCATGGCAGCACTGTTGGAAGGAGCATGATGTGCACAGAAGTCAGCAGAAACCTGAGCACTGGAAGAATGCTACCATTAAATATTATAAACTGTGGGGAAAAATAGTAAGCTTACTAAATTTTGTAATTCTCTGTCATGGCCACTAAGTAACAAATGCTCAGTGTCCCACATTGTGCCAGATAAATGGAGTTCACTGGGCGAAGTTGGTCTCTCCTGTGTTGTTTACCATAAAGTAATGTGTGAAAGTATTGATAACATTGCACACTAATATTAAGAGAATACTGCTTGACAAAAAAAGCCCACACAGTTTTTATGAAAGCAGGTGACATTTTATTATATTAACAGATTCAGAATGCTCCATACAACCCCCCGTGACAAAAACACAACATTCTGTGGGAAAACCTGGAAGAATCACGAAAAACAAGACAGAAAGTTTCCTTCTTTCTAGATTCAGCAGCTCTTCAATATTTAAGGACTGGAAATATAAAATGGTAAAGAAAGGTATGCAATACTCCTGGGTTTTCCTGCTCTGGAAAACCTGACCAAAGAAAATGGGGAATTTTAAATAAGAGTGTAAGGGCTGGAAAATGGAGTTTGTGAAAACTGATACTCCAGACCCACAACAGGATGTATATATGTCTGAAAGGTACAAGCCCTCAACTCAGTTGGAGTTCCTTCAGTTGGGCTCCTAAGCCCCCAGTCATTGTATGCAACCATGTTCTAAACCAGAGTCCACCTTTTCTGGGTATGGTCTATGCATTAATAATTCAATTTGAAGACATTGCTTTCTAGACATGGCATCATCATGAAATATGTATGGTAAGTTTTCATCAAACTGCACACAATGTATGCAGACTTTTTGGTGAAAAAGCAATTATGAATTTTCTTCTTATTATTTTAAAAAAGTGTATTTGTGTACTTTATATATTTAGATTGCCACACTTACTGTTAGTTTATCAAAATAGGCATTAGGTAAATAGGTTAGTTTATCAAAATTGACCTTTTACTTATGACAGTCTAGGTTGTTGAGAATACAAATGTCTGGGATGAAAAGAACAGGCAAGTCTTCAATTAAGAGAGCAGAAATTAATGGTTCATAAAGGAATTATTTAGTTGCTTAGCTCATCTGAGGAGAAAATATTTCTGTTTATTGTGTATATTTGATAACACAAATCAAATGAAGACAGGAAGTGAGGCAGTACAGCCTGCTAACTATGAAAGGGTGGCATTAGAGACTTGAAGACTGGCAAAAGAAAAACATCTTGGAAAGATTTGGGTTGTTGTAGACTGCACATTTCAGAAGGAAATTAGACATCAAAAATTCCTCTAAAAAAATCTGCATAAAGCCATATTGAAAGTCATCCAAGTACCAGTGCAAGACTTAACAAACCAGATAAGGCATTGTTCAAAATGCAAAGAAACCTATTTATGTTTATACATATGTAAAGATGTAGGTAAGTCTTGTACAAGAGTAGAGACTTGTTCACTGCCACATTGCCCTGATTTTGCTCTGGGATAATTGCAGGTTGAAATAACATAAGAGTGTCAATAGCTTGCTCAGTCTACAATTCTCCATGGACAAGAAATACAACTGAATAATTCCTTTAGAAGGGTTTTCACAATGGGCTATGGAAAAATGAGCATCAGTGTCAAAAAGCATAGTTTATTAGGATGTGAACTGAGTCATCATAATAGGTCTATTATAGCACTGTTTTGTGATCTGCAATATATACATGTATATTAATTTATTTGCATGCAGGGATGATCTAGGTGTCTGGATTTTCATGTGTATTTTTACACATAACCCTTACACATAACCCTTAACACATAACTGTTATAGCCACACTGAAATGTGCATGCAGGGATCAGGCCATTGGTGATTTTTGAGGAGTATTTGTATTGTCTGACTTTAAGCACCCCACTGAGATGCCAGAGTTAATTGCCAGAGTTAATTGCCTCTTTTCTTACACAGCAGTGGAGATTTGGCACCTGCAGGGGCGATTTAGCATGGGAATATATCTCTTTGGGTGCCTGTGCACTGCAAAGGAAGTCAGAGCAAGTAGATCACCAAACTGTGCATTTGAGGCCTGGATTTAGATCATGTGAATCACCCTTCAGGCTAGAGAGAACTGAGCAAATTACAAGCTGAGCAAATAGCATTTAGAAAATAGAGGAGCATGGGGGAAATGAAGCACCTTCCATTCCTGAAATATTAAAGTTGCCTGCAAAACGGAAGTAAACCTGTACTAGCACAGAAACTGCTATTACAAGAAGAAATGGTTGAGTATTAGGTTGGTGAAGACTGTGAAGTTATCTAGACAGACTTTTATTGCCTGTCAAGTCTGTGCTACTGGTAGGTGCTTTTTACAGACGTGGAGGAGGACAGCTTCCCACCCTGAAGAGCATATGATCAAAGAAGTGGTAAGGGATGCAACGTGGTGTTTCTCAATATATTTTTCCTGTTCTTTTTTTCCCCCCTGCGCTCTCTCAAAAGGTTTTGGTGCCTTGCTGGTTTGTTGCCTGCTAATTCTGTAGTAGCAAATATTAATTCTATCTCAGATTCTGGTCTATAAAGTTTCAGTTTTCACTTAACTACTATTTATTAACACTCATACTTTCATTTCTAAAATAGGTTATTGAAAAAAATATTAGCAGTTAATTTTTTGACTTACAGGTTTGTCATATAACCACTGGATTGGATTCACATGCAAAAAGTTTAAATGCTTTCTCTCAGCTTTGGGGAATTCAAAATAATTGAAGGCTGCTGTGCCTGTGCTGGAAAACACACTGCTGCTTTTACTTCAACTTTACTCACTGCTGAATATGGATTAAAATTTTGAATTGACCTGGAAGGAAAGAAAGTATTAGTGACATGCTGTGAAATCAGACATGCCAGTTGAAAAGTAGGGTTTGGAAGACGATACCCTAATCCAGTGCCTTTTAAATACAAAAAGGATCCACACTTAGTCCCTCCTCCCCACAGCCAGATTGCCAGGGCCAGCAGAGATCTTTCCCTCCAGGTACTTTGAGCATACTGTGGTTTTAATTGACACATCACAGTTAGAGTCACTCATTCCTACTTCCTAGAGTTCAAGCAGTGATGAAAGGAGAGTGGTCTGGTAGGAAAACTACTGTGTGCTTTGGTTTGTCCAAACCTTTGCTTTGTTGCCTTTCTGGTAGCTAAAGATAAATTAAAGGCTTCCTTGGATGTCACAAGACAAGAGCCCTGTCCTCCACTGTGACACCAAAAATGGAGAAAACAGGGCAGCCTGGGATGCTACCAATGAGATAGGGTTTACAACCCAGCCCAGCAGCGATGGATGTTTGCTGAGGTACCCATGCCCATCTCTTCTAGGGCCAGCAAGAAACTGTGGCCTGGTTCTGAGGTGTCTCTGGTGACCAAAAATGTACATGATTCCCTCAAAATATTTATGTGTATAACTCTAAGTACATTTCATCTGTCCAGGTTACACCAAGGGTTTAAGGCTGTATTTTGTGGGGGAAAAAGGAAGTTTGAATATATTAATTATAGAAAGTTCCCTTCAAGTCCATTCAGCAAGCTTACCTATCCTTTTCTTCCCACTTGGTATGAATCATATACATGCATAAAACCTAGCTTGACTAACTGGCAGGTACTTGAGGTTGTGCAGTGCATGTTTCAACAAAGCAAAGCTGTGTTGTCAAATAAATACCTTAGAATATGCATTTCCAGGTTTTCCCAGGCTGTACCACCTGATTCCAGATGGGGAGATTACCTGCATTAAGATCAGCCGCAGCGATCCGCATGAAAGTCTGGCCATTAGGATCGTGGGAGGCAGTGAGACCCCTTTGGTTCACATTATTATACAGCATATTTATCGAGATGGGGTGATTGCCAGAGATGGAAGATTGCTGCCTGGAGACATGATACTAAAGGTACAGTACTGTGGAGGTAGGAGATAAAAATAGCCTGACAAAGAATGAGATGGTTGAAGTCGATCACAATGAGATTTGCAAAGTTGCAGAAAGCTGTTCTGAAGTTCAGAGCACCACCCACAAGGCCCCACGATCTCCTAGCTTTTGCTGACCCCAGTGGTAGCTGAGGACACTTGAGGCGTGCCAAGGTTGTGCCATGCTTTCTGCTTTATGTCAGACAGACTTGGCCAAAGGGATTTCCCTTTGGAAAGGGATCAAAATGTGGGCATACTTCACTCTAACAGTGAATAAAAATGCTTCTGGATGGTGGTTCCCAGCAGCAGCTGCATAGCATGCACACCCAGCTATGTGTTTCAGGGAGCCTTTTTGTCCTGGTGCCAGCACAGAGCAGCAGAGTTAATGGCACCACTAAGACAAAGCTGTTCCTGCAGGGCACATCCAAACTGCACAATGAAGCTGTGACTGTGGCACGGATGGGCCCAGCCTGGCTCTTCCCAGCCATGGCTGACTGCCCAGGATTTACCAAGGATTCCTGTGAATTTCAGCCCCATCCTGGTGCAGCTCATGCTGTTTGTGGTACCCAAGGTAGCAACTTAAAGCTAGTTGAGCTGTCTCTCTGGGTGCAGTCCTCCCCATCAGACTGCAGCAGAACAACTCCATTGTTCCCACATAGGAAGTCTGCAAAAGCAAACACCAGCCAAATGCTTTTGTCCGTGCTGGGGAGTATTTCTCTTACATTTTGGAGATGTTTCTTAATACTTAAATGGTTCAACCTGTGCAGTGTAAAGCTACATGGAAATATCTTGTCTGATTCAGGTTTTCTAGCCAGTGATAAAATACAATCTTGCAACTGGTTTTCATTTAGCAATATAAAGTGCAATGCCTAGTCACTCTTACACATATGAACATGATGGGATTGACTGGAAACTCTTTTTTCCTCTTTCTTTTCCTCATCCAAATTTAAAAAGTGGTAGTTATACAGTTTTATTCTCATCTGAATTAAATCTAACCTGAAAAACTCTGAGGAAAAAAAGGAAAGTATGATTCTCTAGTGTGGTAAATCAGCATAATTGTTAGTAAATATCTAAGGCATTTAAACTTCTACTTGAGGCTCTTTCCTTCTTTGTAGTTAGAGATTCATTAGTGAAGAAAAATTTTTTTTTACTGTACCTAGAACAGCTGGGAGATAAAGAAGAAAAGAAACAGCAGGAAAACAGTGGGAGTGAAAGGAAAGGCTTGCAAGACAATTTGAAATCAGAAGCCTATGGAATAAAACTAAGATATATGGAAGGATATTGAAGCTTGGGAAAGAGCAATAAGAAAGATGAAAACTAGCATGTATGTCTGGAGACTATCAGGGAGCGAGGGGAAGAAAAAGGACAGAAACTGTCTGTGCAGCACATCCTTTCCTTGCGGGGAAGATTGTTCTGCACCACAAACTTGTGTGTGACACAGTTCGAAATAGCACATGTCACTTCATTTGAAGACATCTGTGTATCTAGATCTGCCCTCCTCAGTGCCAACTCAGAACAGACCGTCTTTCTGCTGCTGATTTACACTTCTCTATTCCAGGTAAATGGCATGGACATCAAAAATGTGCCTCACAACTATGCCCTGTCAATCCTGAAGCAGCCGTGCCACGTGCTGCGACTGACGGTGCTGCGAGAGCAGAGGTACCGGTGCCGCAACAGCGGGCTTTCCCTCGATGCTCACTGCAACCGGGACGACAGCTTCCATGTAGTGCTGAACAAGAGCAGTCCGGACGAGCAGCTGGGCATAAAGCTGGTCCGCAAGGCCGATGAGCCAGGGGTGTTCATTTTCAACCTGCTGGAGGGCGGCATGGCGGCGCGGGACGGGCAGCTGCAGGAGAACGACCGCGTGCTGGCCATCAACGGGCACGACCACCGCTACGGCAGCCCCGAGAGCGCAGCGCAGCTCATACAGGTTTGTCCTCCCCACTCTGACCATGGGGCTTGAGCTGGGCAAAAAACAAGCAGTGGTTTTTCACCATCCGTGGCAAAGCAGGGGCCTAACACTGAGTCTGTGTATTTGGAAGAGGGAAGGAGTCAAGATTGGAAGGGAATTTACTCCTGTCAAAGCTCCTTGGTTTTACTGTGGGGATTAGTGTGAGCATGAGCATGGACTCCCACAGAGGCACCTGCTACCATCAGGTTTTGGAAAATGTAGATCAGTGCAAACATCTGTATACTCTGATCATCACCAGAGTGATGCCAGCTGCCAGAAGGCATCCACCCTGGCAGCACTGGTTCCAGCAGAATCCTGACTCCTCTGGCTCAGGAGTCACTGTGCTCTCTCGTTCAGCCCTGGAGCAAACCAGAGTAGCCTAAGGCAGTGGACTACCACTATAAGGTAGTCAACACCTTGCAGGTATTTCTTACCTAAATCCGGTATATGGAAATCCAGATGTTTTGGAAAAATGGATCTGTAGTTATTAATCTCTGTTTAGACTCACCTAAACAGGTGCTAACACAGAACTGTTAGATGAAAAACACCCATGCCTTTCTCAGCTGCAAAATTGGTCAGCTTCTGCCTAATTTTCCCTCCAGAACCAATTTGGGTTTTTTGTTTACAGACTATGCTTTTGTAAAACGTCAACATAAAAAGCAAAGCCAAGAATCTTTTGTTGCTTTTATCTCATATTTATAGCTGTTATTATACTTGTGCAATTTTGAATTTCATTTGGAGGCATGTAGACTGTTCACATATTGAAGAAATGCATGGGCTTCAGTAACAAGATGTCAAATCAGGCCAGCTTCTTCTTCTTTCTGACGGGTATAATCAGGGTAATATCAGTCAGACTGAAACAAACAGTCAAATCCATGCATTTTGTGGAAAGTATTTCTGTGTTATCATAGATTCACAGTTGGTTGTAGCCAACTTTTATTGTGAAGTTTATAGCATAGGTGAAGAAAATGTTATCCCCTTACATAATGCCAGTTGTTGAAATTCTGGTCCAGCTTCTTTCTGGATTGCCTTATGTAGCTCAGTAACTGGGAACAGAAGGCAGAAGGGGGAAGGTTTAAATTCTCTGAGGGCAACAAGTCTGGAATGAAAAATTTTCTAAAAAACTATTATTCTTGGAACAGTTCTTTATGGCTACAAAACAAGGCATCAGTGCTTCATAAGCAAAAAACACACGAGATGGAACGGAAAAAATTACTAACAAGAGTATTCACATTCAAGTGTTTAAAAGTGCAACCAAAGCCCTTATTGATCTCCAAAGAGTGGATGTTAATTACAATAATGCTTGAAATGCACACCAATCCTTGGGAATTTAAACAAGCCTATCAAAGGGGAAATTCAGGTTTCCAAACAGCCAGGATTATATTGCATTGATGTGAGCTCTACGAATCACATTTATCTAATTCAAAATTCCTGGAACCTGTGTCTTTTTGGTTATGTTTTTCATCAATTATCATTTGCCTTTCCTGTTTCTATGTTATGCCAGAGAAAAACCTTTATACTGAAGCCACAGGTGTTTTGCATTTGCTTCTTACACGAAGGGCTATTTCACTGTGTCCTCTGATTTCTCAACAGCATCCTTCCTGCCTGTTGAGAGCTCAGCATGCCTCTTGCAGTGCATTGAGGTCTTCTAATTTATGGTGGTGAAAGCTACAAATACACCATCAGTTTTTTTAAAAACAGAACATTTACTAAAAGGTGCAGTGGCTTGTTAAACCCAGCACAGCAGGAAGACTGTCAGATTTCTGAGTAATCTGATTATTTTTGACTTTTAAATAATGAATAATTGAGACAATTGAGACCTATAGAAACTATTCAATAGCATATGCGAAGCAGTTGCTAATCAGATTGTCTGGCTGTTTATAAGCTCTAAGCTCTGTCACAAGAGCTGAAATGAAGAAAATGTATAAGTGCTAATTAGGAATGTGCACACATCATAACACTCGGGAATTTGCTGCCTCCTGTTTGTCACATCATCTTAAGCCATGGCCTTGTGTCAGAAGTGGCACTTTGAATCTAAGTAACAAGACATTCCACATCTGTTTTCCATGAGAGTGACAAGAAAAGGTGCAAGGTAACAGTTATGGGGTGCCCATATGAGCACATCAAGCCAAGCTACATGAGCTGAGTCAGACTTTACTGAGCCCAGATGTTCACCCTCCTCCTCACCGCCTTCCCCCCACAGTTCAGAGCAGCTGCTAGGGACAGAGGAGCAGCTTTTCTACCCAACAACTGCCTCTGACAAGCAGGTTGTGATGTGGAGCATATCTGTGCTCCATCATCCCAGTGAGACATGGGGCAGCTTCTGCCAAGAGAAGCCCTGCTGCCTCTTTCTAAGATGCTCAGAAGTTTCCCTTGTGTCTCTGCCTTCCTACTTGATTTGCCTTAGCTCTAACAGATTTTAATTCTAGCAGAGTGTTTCAGCTCTTACTTGCACTTGGCATCAAAGCTCACCTCCTCTCTTTAATTTTCACTTCAGCATAAAATACAGAGAAAGAATTGTGGGAAAAGCCACTGGTAAGAGAGAGGGAAGAGATCAGAATGAATCAGCAATAAATAATCTGTTTGGTAGAAACGTTAATGGGTTTTCATATGTATGTAAATACAAAAGCTGTTCTTGTTGTTTGGATAACTTTCTAAACCACTCTGACTTCTGAGAAACTACTCAGCTTGACTGGCCTGTAGACAAATGTGCCATTGCAACAGAGACTCTAGTTGAACTTTTGCTAGTTGTTCTTTGAGAATTAATCATGTTTTACAACCTTTCTCTAAATAACCAGCTTTGAGGCTTACCATGTGGCAGCAGATAAATTTCAAAAAGAAGTTGTGTTAAGTTGAAACTGTTCATTTTAGAGAAAACAGTATTTTCATCGGGCCACATGCCCTTGGGAGGTTTAATCTCGTGTTGTTCTGTTCCACCTCAGTCATATTACAAACTAGGGACCAGGGTGGTTTCTTTTCTCCCAACACACAGAATCTGCTCTGTTGAGTCCAGAGTCCATGAATTAATATTCCATAAAACCAGATCTGTTAAAAATGCCTAGAAAGTTGTTTTGAAATATGTGTGTATGCACTAAATTATATATTATGAAGCTGTGAATATTTGAGTTTCTAGTAAAAAAAAATAGCATCCCCCAAGATATTGGGAAAGTAACAAAGACATGCACATTTTTTACTTCACTGAAAATAGCATGGCTTGAACATGTATATTTCAAGCTTGAAGTTGGAGGTTTAGGCGAGGTAGGTTGCTTTTTCTTAACTAAAATGACATTTTTCCAAAGCTCTTTTTAACTCTCAGCTACAGTTATTGAATTCAACTCCAGAAAGGACAAACAAAGCTATAAAAACAAAATTCCCAGAAGCTTCCTCTGGCTTCTATTAATTGTCTGTGGGAGATTTTATTTCAATAGTGCAACTGGATCTGTGTTTGGTTTTCAGCTGCTTTTTCAATGCCAGCTTTCCTTGGAGCTTCTCCCCAGTGAGCAGTGCTAGCAAGCCAGCCAGGAGGTCTGCAGCCCCAGGGCTGTGGTGCCACCAAGCATTGCAGCTGCAGCCCCAGGGCTGTGGTGCCACCAAGCATTGCAGCTGCAGCCCCCAAGGCTGTGGTGCCACCAAGCATTGCAGCTGCAGCCCCAGGGCATCAGGCTCCAGATGTGTTTGTGGGGACTTCACATTGTTGGACACTGAGCAGTTCCTTCAGTCTAACCTGAGAGCCAGCAGGCAGGAGTGCCTCTGCAGACTGGTCATTAAGAGCCCCTCCTTCCTGGCAAAACAGCAAGGTCTTTAGCCTAGAGAGAAGGAGATTAGAGGATTAATTTTTACATCTTCTGAGTATGCTTCTATAGCACTGAGGCTATTGGTACACTGTTCTTCATTTTAGTTTAGTATATTTGTTTATGACAGGCATCTATGATTTATCTGGGTAAATCCACTCCCTCTCAGCTTTATCTTTGCATCACTGTTGTTTTGAACAGATTCATACGAGCCTCACTGAGGAGCAAATGAAGCCATTTTCTTCTGGGGAAACAGTGATGATTTAATGATAGAAAAAAGCCCCACTTTTACACAGAATTAACACTAATATCAGGCAAACACACACAGAGCCCCTTAAAAATAACAAACATAACCTCAGAAGTATCATTGGAGCATTGGAGCATCTCTCAGGCACACAAGTATACTGACTGCCTTTTGAAAAAAGGCCTAGAAGTTCTTTGAGCTTTGAAACTGTTCTTCCTACAGTGAGAGTTTGTGAGCTGCTTTCCCATCCTAAACTTCATTACCCTGTGTGCTTGCTTATGCCCACCCTCTCTGTGCTCTGCTGCAGTAGGATTTTATTTCACAAAGAAAATACCTTTTCTCCCTTTCTTTAAGCTTCCTTACATTTGTCATGCTCACTGCATGCAGGTGGGCTTAATTACATTGTTTATTCCCCACTCCCACTGGGCAAGGCCTAAGCACATCCCTGGTTTCAGGGTTGATTGTAGCTTTTTCAGCTTTCCCATCTATTGGGCAGCAACAGCTCTGGTAGCCTGCCTGTGTCTCTGCCATGGCAGGTGAATTGCAATGGCATACACCTGTGTATAGCATTGCTTTGCAGTGCTATACACAGGTGTATAAGAGAGCTGATCAGAACTCACTGTGGTGGATCACTGCTTTCAGCCAAATTTGGGGCAGGTAGGAAGGATTTTTTAGAGTTAACACCAAATTTTCAAGAGAAATATTAAGTAGCTGGCAGTAAACTTTTATGAACTTAATTGACCTGAGCTGATGCTACTGCTTTATGTCACAGCAACCTCATTAATGGGAAATCCACCCAACGTTTAAGTGGTTCCTGCATTTCCCAGACCCTCTGGGGCTGAGGTGCGGGGTTTGCTGTGCCGGGGCCGTGGCATTCACAGTGTGCTCCCCCGCAGGCCAGCGAGAAGCAGGTTCACTTGGTGGTGTCGCGGCAGAGCCGGCAGCAGACCCCGGACCTCCTGCAGGAGACGGGCTGGGCTTCCAGCGGCTCCCAGCCCTGTCCGGCCGAGAGAAACCACCCCGGCAAGGTGAGGGCGCTCCTGTGGTGAGTCCGCCGTCCGTCCGTGGGGCGGGGAATGGGGGGGCAGCTGGTGGTGCGTGTCTAAGGGGGTTTCCTCTGGCTTCTGTCACCAGAAAAAGCTCGTCTCACTTGGCAATGGAAACACAAAGGCTGTGCTGCTCATTATTTACCCACTGGTTCTGCCCTGACTCTGCCTGGCATGGGGAGGGAAAGAGAAGGCAGTGGGCAGTGCTGGGGCAGGTGCTGATGTGCACACAGGGTCTGGCCACGGCCACAGGTCTGACCAGCAGTGGGAATCTGCAGAGGACAATGCACTCCAACAAAAAGAAAATTTTTTCTGAAGTTTTTCCATCTGTAGCATAGTCTTCAGACAAAAAGCTTTCACATGCTGGCCTAAAAAATCCCCATAACCTACTTGAAAATTGTGGTCATCATTAGGCTGTTGCTCATTTATTTAAATGCCCTGGTTGCTGAGAGCACAAGGACTTTCTGTGGAGCTTTAGACCCAAAGCACGTTTGTTCTGCTCTGGCAGCACCTGGAACTTGCATGGTGTAGGTTCTGCAAGGGCTGCTGGTGTGCAGCACGCAGCCCAGGGACACAGCACAGAGCAGCCACCTCACCCACATCAGGCTGTGGTTACCACACTGTGCCCCAGCTGTCCCTGTGTACCTGGCCAGAGTATGTGTTTAGTACATCTACACTCACATTCTCTTTGCCTAAGGCAGAGAAATGCTGATCTTCAAACATAGGAGGTTTTAAGTAGGAAACAATGCAGTTAGAGTTTTGAAAATATGTTTTCTGAGCTTGCTCAGTGTTATTCTTTCCACTTTAGACAGAAGAAGGCATGTCCTTGCAGGAACTGATTTTTTTTTTATTTCACTAAATTTGAAGCCACATGTCTGGCTAATTTACATTAATCACCCTGAGTGTCACCACTTATGCAAACCCATGCAAGCTTGACCCTGGCCACCAGTGCCAGGGGTGTATCAGGGAGGTGTGCAGGCAGGGCTTAAGTTCATCCTGCTTGATGGATAGCCAGTTGTGTCCTTAAAGGGACCTCTGGACCAAATATCTGGTGCACAGCTGTCAGCCAGGAGACAAGTCTAGCTCTGGATTTTACAAATGTTAAAATATACCCATTTTTGCAGGTCTTTTAAAGCTACATTATTCAGTGTTTTTATGTGTTAAAAACTCTAGTGTATATTTACGTATTTTTCGTTTTCCTTTCCCACAAAGTCACAATCACAGCTTTTATTAGGTGGGACCAGATAGCAGGAGTTAAAACAGAAAGCAGGCAGTGTTCAGTAGCTACTACCAAGTAGAAAGTAGTGCCCAACTAATGATGCATCTGCAAGGCATAACTTTCTACTGAAGCAATGATTTCCTTAGGAAGATATGTGTAGGACAGCAAGTAGCTTGTGTTGGTACTATATTCATCCTAGGGTAGATCCAAGCACCTGCTAACTCTGCCATGTTGGTCTGAGTAATTAATTGATACCAGATGGGATTATTTGGGAGCACAGCTTATCTCTCTCTGCCCTGAGATCCTCATTTTCTCTTCCTATACCAAGAGATGTTGGATGTGAGTTCTTGGTAAGTCCCACAATATTTTGGGTAGCTGTGAGATTGAAGGCACAATGAGCAGTCCTCTAATGAGCAAGTGTTATAAAGACTAATGAATCATCTCTTCTTGCATAGGCCTCAGCTTTTAGGGGGTTTTCCAGTTTTCCACAAAAGATGAGTACTGCATAAGCACATGAGTGGGTGTACTGCTGTGGGCTTCTGTCCAATGCCACCATTTGGGCACTTTCCAGGGAAGATCACAGGCAAAAAAAGAAAACTCTGAACTGTTCCTACCTCCCTTTAGCTTTGTGTGTAGGTTGTAGAGGGCTTCTATCAGAGAAAATGCTCTGGCAGTAGATCAGTACAGCCAGTAGACACAATGAGCTTCAGGCACTGTGGACTTTTGGTCTGATACAAACATTGCTGGAGTGTTAGTTGCCCTTTTATAGGGCATGACTGTGTCAGTTGAAATATTTCATAATATTTTGCTGAAGGTTTAACTGAACATAACTTGCAGTTCAAGATTTTTAAACTGGCTTTAAAAGATTTTAAAAATGGTATTTATTTTAAGTAGGCATAACTGCAGGAGCAATGCTTGCAAGCCTAGGGCCTGTACAGTGTCCTAATGCAGGACATGCTCCTGCCCAAAAACCAAGGTAATGCTTGTTGGTTGGGCCTCACTGTCAGGGGAGTCTCCCATGTGTGTGTGGTCTGATGAGTCTGCTACCTACTGCTATCAGTGGGATTGCTTTATTATATGTGATTAATAGAGGATTGCTAGCTGCCTTGATTTCTGGCTAATTTTAAGGCATTTTTTTGACCCCTGAGCTTACTGGGGAAAGTGATATTAGATGGTCAGGAATGCTCTCTTTGAGTGAAACTGCTCTCACTGTAGAGCATGTATGTCTACATGGGCTGAAATCTGCTCTCAACCTGTGGCTGTGTTCAGCATCAAGAATAAGCTCTAGCTTCCAGCAGCCATCTGTCTCATGCAGTGGCTCAGGAGCCACTTTGGGCCAAGCTCTCGGCCTCAGGACAGCCAACCTCCATCTGTACAGCACAGGGAGGTGACATGGAGGTGCCTCTCTTTTAGGCCAGTGGTGACCAGCCGTGTTGCCCACAGGGCTCTGGATAAGAAGAGGATGATCCCTTGTGACCATGTCCTTCTCTGGGGGTGTATGCCAGGTGTATGGTGTGCCAAGAGATTGGTCCTGCCCAGGGTCTCATGGATCTGTGTTCCTCTGTACAGAGATTGGGGAAGCACAGCCCAAACTGTTCTGGCTGCTGCCTGGATTCAGAGAAGAGATGTCACAAACACTTCATTGTGCAGCTGAGGTTGTGAAGCCAGACTGTAACACATAAACAGGCCTGATTCAATTCCTTTGAAGTCACTGGGAGCTGTGCCATTAATTAAATAGCACTTGTTTTTAATTGGATCTGTTTTCTTATTTCTTTCAAATTAATTGTCTAGTACTTAGGGCAAAGAAAATGTTGCTGGAGCAGGCAATATTTCCTGAGCAAATGAGCAGGTTAACCTTCAGGTAAAGTACATTTTCCAAACAGACACAGCGATGTTTTTTGCCTGCAAGACACGTGTCATGGCTTTGATGTTGTGATAATCTGCTGTAAATATTTATTTTCTAATAAATATACAGAAAAGGAGGAAAAAATAAAAAGAGGAGGAGATGAACTGTTATGTTTTTCTTCTCCTGACCTCCAAGGTTGCTTCAAAATGACAAAGAAGCACAATTGTTTAGAAGAGAATGCACTGAAATGCAGTCACTGATAAACACTGCCTTTTAACTGGTTTACTTGCTATCAATTATACCTCCAAGCAAGTTCTACATGTGTTTACTAAAAAAGGCTTTACTTTCCTTTCATCACTGCCTTCCTCTCAGTCAAGTCACCCCAAATCCTTTCTCTCTGCAGCCATATAAAAAAATGACATGGGAAAGAGTAGCTTCAAAAGAAAATTGGTTCTTTGTGATTCAGCATACAAGTACTGGTACTTCTATAATTCTTCATTGAAATGTAGCAGGACAATTTGTTCCCAAGCAGTACTTTGAAATCTTTTCTCTCTGTGCTGATTCCTCAAAAAATAGTGATAAACTGGTTAATGCTCTAATGTTTTTGTTGTCTGAGATGTTTGCTGCATAAGTAACAGGACTGCTCTCTCACTCAGAGCCAAAAATAGAATCCAAATTTCATGTTTTGCTGCAAAATTTCAAATCGCAATTTTGGGAAAGTTAGTTGCCCCCTATCCCACGTGTTTCAAAAAGTGGCCTTTTCCTGATGGAAAGCCATTCATTTTCAAGGGAAAAAGGATATTTTTGTAAAACATGGATGAAACATTAAGTTTAATATGCATAAAGATAGAACTACTCTGTTTAAAATATTTACACCTTAAAGACAAAGGTGAAAGGTTAAAATTATCTGGATCAGAACATAAAATTTATCAGGAAGAGAACATTTTCTGAAGGTTTTAAAATCTTCAGAAATTGATAGGTTTGTTTGCAAGCCCTAAGCCAAATTACTGTGACATAGTGCCTATGTTCTACATGGACCACGTCTAATATGTCCAAACAACTGTGCTTGGCTTTCTCTCAGAGACTGAGAGAATTCTTCTTTCCACCGAGCTCTTTGCCTTTTTGTTTCTGGAGCTCTGTGGCAGCTACTGTTCATCTGCTCAAGCAGAGAGAAATCCCTTGCTAAGCTTCTAGAAGGTCCCGCGTTCTGTTGTTAACATTGCATCACAGAAATCTTGATGTGGAGTTAGTTCCCCCAAACATACCTTTAAAAAAAAGCACAAATCAAAGACATAGTCTGCCCTACTCCCATAAAAAAAATTCTTTCCATAATCTTCCTTTGTCCCATCATTGTCACTTAGGGTGGCATTGTGGATTCATCTGTGCCGCTTTCCATGCTGCTGGCCCAGGAATCAATGTAAAATGTCTTTGTGAGATGTCAGATTACTAAGAGATTAATGTGGCTTTAAATGAGTTTTATAGATTATTTTTGCATATTACGAATGTGAGGTCACAGTTGTGAATGAGGAAGAGTCTTTTAAGTACATTTGAAATGTATTTAGAAGCATGCGATTATATATGAGCCTGGAGTGGATAATGCTGTTCCTGCAAGAGGGGCTGGGATTGTCAGGAGTTGATGTCAGGAGAACTGCTTAGGAAATACTTAAGGAGAGAAAAGCAATTAACATTTAAATCCAGATTTATTTGCCTTTCAAACTCTTCTGTAAGAACTGAGTGCATGGTAAACATGGCATTCAGTTCAGAGGTTTAGTTGGAGCTTGCATTGCAGTGGTTCTCCATCCTGAGGGCACCTGTGGCTTTGTTGCACCCTCACTCATGCACCAGCTATTGCATGACCAGCTGTGTGTATTAAACTTTTCCTGCTCAGAGGCAGAAATATATGGGATGGCTGTCCCGAATTGACCCTTCAAGCAGAAGCACTACGAGCACCCTGGAAACTGCTCTCTCTTCACTGTAAATGTCCTTCTCTTTTCCTGAACAGAAACACTTATTCTTCAAGTGTATTTCCACCCATAACTTAGATAGAAACACAGACATCTGGAAGATCAAATTAAATATGTCTCTTCTAATATGTCCCTAATGGTTTCATTCCTCAAATCCAAGAGGACTATTTCTCACTAACTACAGATGATGCTCAGACTGCAAGCAGCAAGATACAAAGCACAACCTGATAGTAAAAGATATGATGACCAGTAGTGATATTATTATCAAGAACTTTTTTTTCTTTTAAAATCAAACTCCTTATTTACTTTTCAAGGACCTTCTTCTGTTAGCCTTAGGACTAAAACAACTCTGGTTTTCATTGCAGCAGTGCTTGACTTTAACTATTAAAGCACAGTTATCTTGGTGGTAGCTCTGACTGCAGATGCTTAAGCCCCGGAGGGAGTCCTGCCGGCCATCAGGCCAGGTGGCTGGGAAGTGCCTTGGTGTTACTTCCAGGAGTATTTGTTTTGATAGAAAATGCCAAAACTGTCAGGGAGGTCACCATGGCCACAAACTGTGTTTGTTGTTGCTATTTTCTCCATCACAGAACACCCTTCACACAGTCACCTGTCATGAGAAGGTGGTGGCTGTCCGGAAAGATCACATGGAATCCCTGGGAATGACTGTGGCAGGTGGAGCATCTAACCGGGAATGGGATTTGCCTATCTATGTGATAAGTGTGGAACCTGGAGGAGTGATCAGCAGAGACAGCAGGATAAAAACAGGTAAAAAGGGGGGATTTTGAAAGCCTGCCCTTAATCAAGAGCTTCTTTTGAAAACTGCAGGATAGTGAAAGCGCTTCACACTCTGACATCTTCAGCAATCCTATAGATTTTGGGATGTGTCAGATTAGAGGATCTCAAGTCAGCTACCAGAAAAGGCATAATATGCAGCAGTAATAATCTCTGTGAAGTAGGATATAGGAATATTCTGGTAGGAAAAAAAAGATAAATAGCTTTTCACAGGAAAATTCTCCTAACTCTTGATACATTCATTGTGCAACCTTCAAAGTAATTTTTTTTGCTTATTTGTCATTGCATTCATGAATTTGAATTAAATATACAGGATGAAAACTCCCATTATATATGAAGCCATATTAGTGCCCTGTGGCTCAGCCTCATGTCTGGAAATACTGGCTTCCTAACCCCATTTAGCTACTGATGGCACAGAATGATAAAGCTAATAGTTTCTCCTCTTCTGCGTGAATAAGCTTTTAGAGCAAGATGAGGACCATATTTTATCAGTTGGTTTTGTGGGAATAGCTGGGCAGCAGAGGAAAGATGAAATTCTCAGGTTTCAGGATGCTACATCCTCAAGAGCCAGATCCCTCAGTAGCCTGCATCCAGCAATGACACTGCTCACCTACCCTTCCTCCCCTATATTCTCCCTCAGTCCAGTCACTGCCTGGAAGCTGGAGGGAAATCCTGAGTTTAAGGGAAGTGAAGGCACCCAAAAATGGGGCAGAATAGCTGCAACCCAGTCAGACCCCAGGAGCCTGGGTCTCAGTGCCCAGCACTGGCACACATGGCAACTCCCTCTTTGTGCCTATTCAATGAAACCCATGTGAGAACACAACAACAGGAGCAAAACAGCAGATTTCCCCTTTCCTTCTGCTGGGAGATGACTGTCTCTCAATGGAATACACTTCCCAAAATATATTCATCATGAGACAGCATGGAAAACTCAGCCTAGTTAATTTGATAAAATTAGAAACAAATGAATATGTGATGTTATAATAGCACCATAGGTCTCTGATGTAGAGCAGCTCTTAGGCTGTTGTCCTTCTTATTGGGGACAGACAACAAGAAGAGATTAATGCTCATTTGCAGTGCCTGGACTGCCAGTGATAAATCTCTGCCTGGAGAAGCATCCAGGCCAAGTATAGAGGGCACCCAGGAAAGCCCTGGCATGGCAGCCTGCTATGAAGGGTTGCAGAGCACTTGGCATTGAGGCTGTTTGCATTACATTAGTGATGGCTTTATTGTTCTGCCTGTAGTAATTGAGGTCATCTTTGCATTTTTCTCTGTGGCTGCTGTGCCTATATTATAAATAAGGCATATAGAAAAATGGTTTGGCTTGCAGCCATTCAAACAGGCATTAATATGAAAATAACGTGTTACTCCACAAAGCAAACTAGGAAGAGCCAGTTGGAGTGGCAGTCCTCCACTAAGGGAGAGCTGGGAGAAAAAACATCACTGAGCTGTGGGGTTTCAAGCTTAGGTTGAGTACAAATGTTGTTAGCTGGAAGTGGACTCCAGAGACCCAGACCAGTAGTAGGCACCAGTACCAAAGCTTGTTGGTACAGCAGGACCCCAGCTGTTTGTTCAGCTCCAGATGCAGGAGATGACGTGGAAAGAAACCAGGAGAAATCGTCTGTCCAGCCACGCAAGGTTTCTGTGTACAGGAATCTCCCCTCATGCCTGTGGCATGTTTACTAGCATATGCTTTGTTAAACGATAGGAATAACAAAAAACCTTGTCAGGCTGCTGGTTCTTGGCCATGGATTTGACTCATTTGTTTGTGGAGGTGGGTAGGGGATCCTGGAAACACTTGCAGGGTTTTTTATCATCGGTTTTATTGGTCTCAGGTGACATCCTCCTGAACGTGAACGGCATTGATCTGACGGGAGTCAGCCGCAGTGAGGCCGTCGCCCTGCTGAAGAACACCAACTCCTCAGTGGTGCTCAAAGCCCTGGAGATGAGAGCATGTGAAGCCCAGGAGGAGCAGGGTCACCTCCCACCCACTGAGGACACCCAAGTGACTGCTGAGAGCAGTGAGTGGTCGCCGTCCTGGGTTATGTGGCTGGGGCTGCCACGGTAAGTCCACAGATTGCAACCTCTGGCTGAGGGGGAGTGGGAGGAAAGATTTGTATTTTCTGGCAATACTTTCTTTTGGCTTGATTCATTGCACTTACATCTTAATTAAATCCAGGCTCTGTCACTGACTTGACTCTAAATACCTCCCTTTTGTAAATGGGTATGTGTACATGGCAAAATAGACATGCAGTTCCCCTTGTGAAGGAGGACAGGATGCTGAATTGTTTCAATCTTGTAAATATACCTGGCATTTAGGGAGTGAAAGGAAAATCTTACAGGGATACAGGAGCTTGCTGAACTGGAGTTTAGGCTCAGCCACCCTGCAGAAGGCAGATACCCCTCCTGCAACACTCAAGCTGCACAGCCCTTCTCCTTTGGCAAATCCAGCTGAATTGTTTGACTTTACCCAGATGTTGCAAAGTTCGTGCAGTTGGCCAGTATCTCCAAATCACCTCTTTTAACCCCACCCCCGCCTGAAAGAAGTCCATTTGTCACACACAGGAAGCAGCTGTGTTGGGGTTTCAGCAAGGATAACAAGAGCCACATCAGCTGTCACTGAGCTCTCAGTGTGCACGGTGTAATACCTACAGCTTCCAGGACATTCCAGAAAGAATGAAATGAGGACACTGTGAATCTGTGAATATGCAAAGCTGGGATCACAGACTTGAAAGTGACACTCAGTTTTAAGGAATGAAGGATTTATCGTAAAGTTCCTCTTGATTGTACTCCTAACTCTGGCAGCAGTTCAGTGTCTCTTTTACAGGAGGGCAGGGTCTGCAGAAGATGGTCTGCAGAACAGGTGGGCTTTTCTCTAGGCACAGGTCCAGGGCTCCTCTTCATTTCCTACTCTTGCATAACAGGTTTCCCTCTTTCTAGCTGAAGCCATTTTGAACTCATTCACCTTGCAGCAAAGTCTGCTGTGAGGGCCAGATGTTTTTTGAGGCTTGGTCTGATGTTAATGACTGTATAACATGTGCTGAAGCACTGCAAGAGCAGAAGGCAGGCTTTGTGTCTGTAACCCACACGCAAAATGTTCCTTCTCCACTGAGGAGGACTACATCTTTATACCTGTGAAAGAAAAGCAGTAAAAAGAAAATGGCAGTGAATGGATACCCCTTAACTTGCTTCCCCAGGCAATGGTAAATTTTCCTCACTCAGTGTCTGAAGACAGGCAGGCCCAAGGAGATCCTCATTCCTACTAACTTCTGCTCTCCTGAGCTTGAGCAGCACCACAGTGAAGGTACTAGAGCATGGGTAATGCTCTCAGTGAAGAGACAGTAACAGACCAGAGGCCTTATAGATGCTGCAATCTGCAGTGCTGAGTCTTGCCTTCTATCACCATCCATAGATGGACTGAAACAATCACACCCTGCCGATGCCACCTTCACTGGGCTGTGTAGAAAACCTGAGCTGCCTGGTAATCATCTTCTACTCACAGCTGCCTGAAGTTCCCAGTACCTCAGCACGGTAGAGGACACGAAGGACAGAGCTCCACAGTACTTCAGGCTTGCACTCAGAGTTCACATCAGTCAGTTCCACTTTGCAGTTTGGCAATAAAATGGGTTTTCCTGTTTTAGAAACAGTTTCTGAGCTCACTTTAGCCTTCCTCCTCTGAAGGCTGCGTGTGTGAAGGCATTCCAGCTCTTTTCGTCTGAAGGGAAATCAGCCCCAGTGTCAGCAAGGCTGAAGACAAGAGCTCATTGTAACTCCATCCCCAGCTGTGAGGCCATGCACAGAGCACAGCATGGTCCTTCTCCTTCAAAGAGACATGGGGACATTGGTATGCTGAGTGGGGACACTGCTCTGAACATCGCACTAGCGCCTGGGACAGGGACCAATGCACGTTAGATGTGACAGTAACAAAGGTGCTCTGTTTTCTTATTGGCAGCTGATTGGCTGAGTAGGGGCACAAGAGGATCAGGTTTGGGATGGCTCACTAGGTATTAGCAGGCCCTTCAGTCTTCCCCAGTATAATTGTGCTCACTCACTTATTGTTCTGATTCTCCAGGGCCCACATCAGATGTCTGAAAGTCCTTCAACAAGTTCTCTTATGAAGATGTGTATCATGTTAACTCATTTTTCTCCAGGTTGAGCATTTAACCTTTCTCTGGCTTTCAGTTTGCTTTTGGCAAGGATCACATCTCACTAAGTCCCAAGATATTGTCAGCAGTCTCATGACATTTTCCAGGCTGTTAGAGAAAATTATGCTCTGTCTAAATAGATGTCTGACAGGTCCATCTTGAAAAAAGTGCCTGAAGTGCAGTTATGGGGTAAAATGTTGAAGAATCACCTACTTTAATTAAAACAATTTACTAGAAGGACTGTTCCAAGATGTGAGTCTAAGAATGTTCGGTACAGCTAATGGAAAAGCAGAAATGTCAAAATCATTATTATGCAGGATCATGCAAAGTACTTGGGAAGATGGGCCAGAAGGGGCAAACCTCTATAAGACAAATTGAACAAATAGAAAAGGCAGTAAAACTGGTAGGCCAGGAACAGGCATGGTTTAAAAAAGAGGAAGCTGGATAGTAGATTATTTAAATTCTTTTGAGAAGGGAAAGATGTGTCTCAAGACAAGCCTGGCAGTGCAGTGTGTGTATTTGTTCAGCAAGCAAGCAAGGTGGGGTGTTCAGAGGCAGCTTGACCTCACAATTTCGAGTGGGATGTTCAGGCTCAAGAAACTGAGGGGGCAGGAGAGTCTTTCCTTCTTTGTCCAAATCCATGAAATTTTGAGGAAAATCCTGTGAATGGTACCATAAAATGTGCTGAGTTGAACTAAACACTAGACCATGCCTACAGACTTCTGCTCATGACCAATGAAGTAGAAAACAGGCTAGCATTAATAATAGTTACAAGATTCAAAGTAGATAACCGAAAATGCCTGATTTTCAATACTGGAACAGAACTCTTCATTTCCCAGGGACTGCATGCATATTACAGAGATGGGTACAGTCAAGAGACACAAATATTGAGAATTAGGGAATGATGTAATTTTTCTGGATGAAGTTGGTAGCAGCAGAATCAGACAAGTTATCTGATCCCTTGCACTAAAGCTCAAAGACTTGGAAAAGCCATCTTGCTAATTTAACATTTATGGATCTCACTTAGTTTGTCCTTTTCTTGTGAGTTCTTAGAATTGGGTTCTCCCACTTTTGTATGGCTTAATAATATATAAACAGCTCCTCTGTTCTTTCTGTAGTATGATCCAATATGTGGTGGTTATAAAATACGTGCACATGTGCATCTGACATCTGTCAAAACTTGGCCTGCACGCAAGCGGAGGGGCTGCGGGCTGGGCGGCGGGAGGAAACAGTGATGCAGGACCTTAAGCATTCTCGCCCCAAGACTTATTTCAGGGTAGCTAATTTAATTGTTTGTTGTTTAGGAAGACAGAACTCCTTTATTGGTAGAGGGACATGTTGTTGTGAAGCATGCACAAAGGAAATAACAGGGAACAGCTGGCGAAGAGCATTTCCCCAGCTCTGTGATGCTGCTTCTACCCTTGCTTGTTTTCCTGCTCTCCTTTCTTTGCTCTCCTCACATTTCCTTCCCTCAGCTAGTACTTAGAATACTTTTAAGATCGTCCTGTCATAACATTTACAAACATTAGTACTTCACACAAGTGCTTTTCTTCATCTGTAAAGTGAGATGAGAAAGAGACAAGGTGGCCAAAGTCATTCTGCAAACCTGGGGTACAACAAGATGTAAAACATGAAATTAGGACAGAAACACCTCCAAAGTAACTCAATCTGGCCTGTAGGACGCTGGTGGAAACAATTCTCAAATATTACTTACTTGGCTGCCATTTGTGTACTGTAATGGGTAGGGAGGAGGGAGTTACCCTTTTCATAGCTGTTAGTGCTTAAATTCTCCTGCAGTTGGGCTGGTTTTCATTCCTAGAGCATAAGGCTACTTGTGCTTTATGAAAATCATCAGGGAATTGTACATTTAACTACTTGAAAACAGGCACTGTTAAATTCCTCATGCATCAGTAACTGATGCTTAGTTGTAGTATTGCTCAGGATAGGACCCTGTGGCTAGATCCTATATATCCCCAAATCTTGTATCTGAGGCAGGTTCACACATAAATTATTCCTTATCCTCATCTTCTGGATTTAGCGATAAAGGCTGAAGACTGTGAGCTGCTTTCTTCCAAGGAGATGGCTCTCCTTAGACCAGCAGCAGTTTAGTGAGTGTAGCACTGGGCAGCAGAGACCTCTGCCCCAAAATCAACACTGAATTATAGCACTAATGGCTGAATCCTGGCACTGTTTGGTCATGACCTTGATAAGTACCATTAAACATAGAGAGTTTAAGTGATTTTGCACGTTGAAGAAGTCCACAGACGGTAAAGTAATAATGCCTGGCTGCTCAGGAAGAAGCAAGTGTCACCTGTTTCTTACATTAGCAACCAGTGAATTCTTGTGCAAATATTGCATACCTACCATCCTGGCAGCAGGTGAATATTTGTAGGCCCTGGGGGACTAATCTAGTATTATGCTGTGAAAGACAGCAAATGCACTATTTAAAACACAATTTTTAAAACACTAGGCATATCAGTCCTTAAGATAAAGGCTATTTATCTTCCTATAGAAGTGCCAGGTGCTTCTTAGAAACCTAAAATGTCTCTGAATAGAGCTTGTAACAGTTGCCTGCTGTAGGTCAGCCTATATTTTAAGATTTGGAGTAGCAAATATATTTTTAGACATTCGGAAATTTCAGTCATTCCTGGGGACACCACTAATGATAAGATGGTAAAGTACTATGGACAGAAATTTTTATCACTCACTCTCTAACAAATGGAATTAATTTGGTTAAAAAAAAAGGAAGCAAATTAATGTACTCAGAGCATTAGTGAACATTTAAGAGTCTTGTAACACTATTCTTAGTTTTCCCCTATTCCTAATTTTGGAACCTAAACTTTGATGAACATAACATACAGTATCATAAAATACGTTCAAAAGACAAATGGAGGAAGAAGCAGATTTCAGTTCTCTTACAACAAAATCTTGTGTTAATCATTACAGTAAGGACAAGCTATATTCTTGAGAGCAGACTCAGAACTCCAAAGCACTGACTCACATGGATAAGTTTCTCTTATCTTCCATGCTGTGACTTATCAGATTACTCAACAAGAAAAGCTCAGGATCCCTAATTCCACCAATACCTGTCTTGGTGTAATCTATCATTTTTGTAGTTCATTCCATTGGCCTTAAAATTATTTCACTTTGACATGCACCACAGTATTAAGTGTCTGAGCACTTTGACCTAATTAATCACATACAGGCTCATATCTGGAAGATAAACAAGTCATTGGGGTGTATAAGGTAGAAGAAATACAGCTTTTTGAATTGCTGATTTACAAACATTAAATCCAGGCTTAAGTGCTTTTCTCCATCCCAGCAACCAGAGCATTTGCATAGATTCCTACCCTACAAAAAAAAAAAACTAATTTAGTACTTAAGCCCAAGACTAATTTTACTTTTGGGATAACTGGTTATCTGGTTGTAACAGGAAAACAGTACTACAGGAACAGAAGAGAAGTGTAGGTGCTTAATACAGTGGAAATATGGCACTACTTTAACTCTTAAGAACAGTGTATGGGTCCATGAAAAGGCAGATTCATTATTAGTGGTTCATCAGAATCTCAAGTTAACTATAAACATTTAATTAAACTGGTTTATTTCAGATATTTGTACAGCTGCAAAGAAATTGTATTACGAAGAAATACATCTGGAAGTCTTGGCTTCAGCATCGTAGGAGGTTATGAAGAACATACTGGGAACAAACCATTCTTTATCAAATCCATTGTTGGGGGAACACCAGCATATAACGATGGCAGAATTAGGTAATGATTAATATCTAAAAAAAGTAGCATTTATGTAAGTTCTTCCGGTTAACCTGTGGGAGTTTTTAAAAAACAGGTTTTCATTAGGGTAGTGGCAGGGACGGGGGAAGGACTTACTGATACAGAAGTAACTCCGGGAGATAAGGAAACAGGCCACAAGTATCCTGAAGTTTAACAGATCTGCTTTCATAGCAGAATGTTATCAGATGTCTAGCAATCTAGTAGTATGTAAGTTAAAAGAAGAGTCAGTTTGATCTCTGGGATGGTACAAAGCATGCCAGCACAGACATTTCCTACGTCTCCAGTTCTAAACACCCCAACCAAACACCTTACCTGCAAACACCAATACACTTGAAGAGAGTAAATGAACAATCATGGCACAAACGTACATCAATTAACAAGGCTTAAAAGGTACAGTTGTTCAGAACACAGATCATGCTAGTACCTAAAGAGGGCCTACAAGAAAGCTGGAAAGGGACTTTTTACAAGGGTATGCAGTGCTAGGACAAGGGACAATGGCTTTAAACTGAAATACAGTAGTTTTAGACCAGATATTAAAAAGAAATTATTTAATGTGAGGGTGGTGAGGCACTGGAACAGGTTGCCCAGAGTTGTGGATGCCTCGTCCTTATTCAATGACAGGCTGGCTGGGACTTTGAGCAACCTGGTCTAGTAGAAGGTGTCCCTGGCCAGAGCAAGGATTGGAACTGGATTATCTTTGAATTCTCTTCACCTGAAGCCCTTCTATGATTCTGTGATGATGAATTACCAGAATGAATGTCAGAAGAACTATATCATGTTTTCTTTCAAATATGTTGAATTAATTATAAATTTGTAAGAAACCCAAACAAGTGAAATAGTTTCACCTGGTTTATCCCCTTATTCATGAACAGTAGTTAGCCAGAGAAGGAGCCATAATACTCATTTCTACCCCTTCCCCCAGCTTAAGGATGTGCTTTGGCATTTGAAAACATTTAAGATAAGAAGTCACCTTGTTTAATTGTTGTCGTGCATTTATTTTTTCAGATGCGGTGACATCCTCCTTGCTGTCAATGGCAGGAACACATCAGGAATGATGCATGCCTGCTTGGCAAGGATGCTCAAAGAACTAAAAGGAAAAATTACTCTCACAATTGTGTCCTGGCCTGGCACATTTTTATAAAACAAGTCTTCATGGAGAGTGTGATAAGTATCTTAACATGGGGAAAACATTTTAAAAAAAAGGAACACCAGTCTTTGCTTTTTTGGGGAGTAAAGTATGTATTTATAAAGAAAAGGTTTGTGAAATTTCAACCTGCATGTCAAGAAAAGTCAAGTTTAGGCAAAGCAGTGACACCCGTCAGAAAAATCACTTCAGAGTGATCCAAGCTACAGACTTAAGTCCTTCCTTCCCTGTGTTCTTAAGGGTTTTTTGTTGTTTTTTATACATACCTATATATCTATTTAATGCGTTATAATAATAATAATGGAATTTAAGGAGCAACAGCTTCTGCTCACCCACTTTATTTTGATTTACAAAAAGAAAACCTTGAATTACTAATGGAAATATTTCTTGCAATTTTTCTAGTTGCAATAATCAGGTGAAGGTTTTTATCCAACACATTAATAGCACTTTGATTATGTGTACCTTTTCATGGTCAGCATGAAGCTGGTATTTTCAAGACTTTCAAGTACTGTTTGTTAGTCTGTAAAACTGTGAATGAAATTTCTAAAATTATTAAAAATAATTGTAACTGTGTACTTGTACAGACATTATTTTCATCCAAAACCAAATTACCTCGTTTCCCTGGTTTGTTCTGATTAATACTATTAAATCTGGGATTTTTATATAGACTATTACTTTTAAGGAAATACACTGCACTCTGCTAATGCCATCAAGTAAGTCTTTTGAATAGCAGTAAAATTTTTGTGGAACTGCCTTATCAATCACACTTGATACTGTTCTGCATGAAGTAAATCTGAAAGTGATGATGATCTTATATGTCTTTTAAAATAGTCCTTTGTCTTTCTCTGCAAATTACTCATGTTCCACAGTCTTGTTTTTATCTCACAAGCCTACAGTGGGAAGAGGATATGTTTGTTAATCTTTATCATGTTAAGGGCAGCTGTTCCCCGAGAACAAAGACTAAAATGAACTCTCTCTTAAGCCACTGAAAAGCAGCAGGGACGATTATCCAGCTTAATTCATCCTTATGCACCCACACAAACCAGACATAATTACCACGTGTATCATCACCATGCTCAGTGTTCCATTCAACTAAGAACAATCGGCACCTTTCTCGCTTTCCCTGGTTTTTTTTTTTTGCTTCACGTTATTACAAGGCTTTTGAAGAGCCTGCAGTTCCTGTGTGTCCCTGTAGTAAAGGATGACCTTTCCAAATAAGTCTCCAAAAGCTATGCTAAACCCACACTGTTCCAGATGTTGGGTATATAATAAAATGAATGCACACTGCTTCTAAAGTCAGTAAAAGAATGACCTTCCCGTTGGCTTATGAAAAAAGGAGACAATTTAATACAAAGAATTTAAGCCCTACTTATATTGTAAGAGCATAAGCCTCTAGATGTAAGATGTTTTCTCACTGTTTCACTGTTTCTTAAAAGACAAAGTCAGTCCAAGAATCTTAACATGAAAAATTCGTTCTTTTATTTTCAAAAAAAACCAAAGTAACCTTTGATTTCAAACTAACAGAACAAGATTAAGAGCAAATTATTATAATTCCCAGAAAAATAACAAGATTTATAGTAATCTATTTCTGGCACTAATATATATGCAAGTAGGCAAAAAAAATCACACAAGCCTATTCCACAGGGGCAGCTTCAGTGTTTTCCTGTTCAGGAGCAGGTTCACCACTGGCTTCTTTTCCTTCTTTGCTTCTTTTGGACTTCTTGTGTTTGTGCCTTCTGTGGCTATCCCCTTCTTCACTGTCATGACGACGTCGGCTGTTACTAAATAGAGAGAAAACATGCCTCAAACACTTGACACTTCAGGCCCTATTTCATTACAAAGTACCAAAAAAACAGCTTCTGCATTCATATTTGAAAACTGGCATCTGCTCCCAACTCAGAGTTTTTTGAGTGCTTGTTATTGAACTGAATTTTTCCTGGAATGGAACATACATCTATCCATCCTGTACTTTTCTGGGGGAAAATAGAATGATTTTTCCCATTTGTAACCCATATTCTAATAGCAAGACTTTTAACAATGTCATGTACCTATTGGCATTCCTTAATAATTTGACATTCTTGTTGACCCCATTATCTGGACTTAACTTTTATTTCTAACTTAAAATGGGTCAGGTAGAACAATTTCTATCAAATGACTGCAAGGATTAATTTACTTACTGAGAATGACTATTGAGTTGTTCTGTTCATGCTGCTGAATGTCAGCTTCATTCCACCCCTTTCTGACTCACCATTTTTACCCTTCTTTCCCCAGTGTCCTAATTTCTGTTCACATACTGACTGTCACTCAATACGAGGTTACCCAGGTTCAGTATTGCTTCTTGTCTGTCCATGTTTTATACGGCAGACTTGTTCCAAGTAACACATTCAAGTGTTTACAATCTTTCCACAAAACTCCTGTTTGTTTGGGGTTCTTTTAAAAGTTTACTTCTTCTTTTTTTTTTCCTTTTTTTAAACTGGGCAAGTCTTTCATATCCTATTAAAAAAAGAGAAATCAAACCTTCGAGATGACTTGTGTCGAGTCTCTTCTTTCTCTCTGTGCCTCCTGTCTCTGTGTCTGTCTTCTTTCTCTCTGCTTGTCCTATGGCGGTCGTAGCCCCTCTCTGCATAGTCTCTGTATCTGTAGCGTTCTTCATCACTGATTCAGAAAGAAGAAATTTTCAGGACAGTAAGACCAAGGAGTATAACAATAACAAGCTAAATCAGAAAAAAATCTTAATATTGGAAAATCTTAATATTGCTTCTGGGTGTCTACATGAGTTCTAGTGCTTAAAGGACAATAAAGATCTTCATGTTATACACTAGACTTGTGCAGTTAATGCGGTTTTGAAAGGAAATTTTTCATTAAAAATGAAAGAAGAAAGAATACAACAGTGCCCCATTAAATTTATATAGGAGTTATCAAGCTGTTAGCTTGAACCTGTATCTAACTGTGAAGGAAATACAATCCTACATAAACTTCAGTAATTTTTTCGGATCAGTGTTTGAAACATTCAACGCTTATCAGAACACTTTTGGACTATTATACAATTTGGGTAAATTAAAATTAGATTTTGGTACAGTTATCTACTTCCTTACACTCACCTCAAGAAAAGGAAATACTAAGTACAAAGAGTAAAATATACTAAATGTTTGGGTTGCTTTTGAAATTAATTTTTCGCTAGTCTCTACTTCTACTTCTCTCTAGGATTGCCATGAAATGCTGCCCTGCCACAATGTTGGTAAAAACCCCTAAATATCACAGGTTAGACAAGAATTCAAAGGCTTTACTTAAAAACATATTTTCATATTTTGACTTGATGAAAAGGGCAGTTCTAAGAGTTTACTAAAATCTAAAAAAAAACAAAACCAAGAAAACTCCAAAGTCCATTGTCAGCCAACACAACTCAAATGGTACATTAGCATAGCTTAAAAAGGCATGATCATTTCATCATTTCTCTAAGAAAATCCTACCCAGCATCATTTAGGAGTGCAACTTCAATACAAATTACCTCAGTGTAATTATTCATACATCACACGAAGTCTGCCCTAACCATAGTTTGGGAGATCCCCACCAAGTTCTAAAGAAAGGCACAATGTAACCAGTCTTTCTAAAGCAGTAAAATCAGTAACAATTTAGATACTGTTGACCTAACGACAAGCAAGTGTTTCTGTCTCTGCCAACATATATCATGAAAGAAATTATCTTCCTGAGGTCCCTGCAGCAGCAGAAGGGATCAGACAGATCACACAGGGAGAACAGCTCAAGCCTACCGAGATTTCACATGTCCTGGAGCAGTGAGAACTGAGATCAACCCCTTTCATCTGCCACAACCTGGATCCTCTGGCCATTTCCCAAGTGAGGATATTATATTAATGATTATTACAGCTATGCATGAAAACTCAGGGAGAAGGGGGAACACCTGAAGCAACAGCACTAGTCTTTTTATGAAAACTTGTATGATTACATCATTAAGCAAATGTCAGAAATTAGTAATTTAAGACACTGTAGAGAAACATTAGCTACTCAATAGAAAATTCTGCTTTTTTGAGGGACATGAAAAATATTCACACATCAAAACCAGGAAAACTACAGCTACAACTACTGAACTCAAAATTATGATTTGCCACTGAGTAATACAACTTCATTGACTTTATAATGCATTTATAACCTCAGATCTGAGAGTAATCTGATCAAATTGTGAAAAGCACATTTGTGCTCAAATGGCACAAAAACTGAGGTTGGAAGGCATGAGTGGAGGTCATCAGGACCAAACCCCAGCTAAAGCAGGGCCATCAGGACCAGCTGACCAGTACCATGTCCAGACAGCTTCAGGGTATCTCCATGGTTGGAGACTCCCCAGCCTTTCTGTGCAACTGCAGCTTCTCCCATATCTCATATTGTTTCACAAAACTAATATTTTCATGGTCAGTATCTAATTAAAAAGTTACAATTTGAATGCCTAACACTAACTTCTGATAAGCTTGGCTACTTGTAGACTTACAGCTTGGTTTCAAAGAGATCCAAAGCCCTTAATGGTAACTCACACTCTGCATTTGTTCCATTACCCAGTTATTTTAAAACACTATAGAAAAGGTTAAAAATATTACTGATACTCCCTTTTAAACCTTATTTTGGCAAACTACTAAAGAACCATGACAGCTTGTAAGTGTGTCTGATGAAAATAAACAACTTTTCTTAGTAAAGCAAAAAATCAGTTTGCCAAGACAAGAGCTTTCAGGAACACTCTAATGCTGCTCAATGCTTTTGACCTTTATTGCACACTGATCGTGGAGTCTTTTTCAGTTTGTTGACCACCAGAACACCAAATCCTATAAAGCTGCAATCCAGCCAGGCAGATCCTCATCTGCTCTTCTGCATGAGATTATTAAATTCCAGGACTTTAGAAACACAGTTGCTGGGGTTTGTTTTTCTGGTTTTTTTTTTTTTAATTTTTCAAATTGCTGAGGAAGAACCACAATACAGTAACAGATCAATCAAATTCCAACGTCTACATTTTTAGTGGTAACTAATTGACTTGAAACTACCAAAATAAAAACAAAACAAAAAAACCCAAACAAACAAAGTCCCAACCTTTGCAGAAGGGATACAGTCCAAAAATAATGGCATCTTCTCAAGGGGGCAGAGTGAGATGCATTGTGAAAATGCACACTTTTCTCTGAGGATAGCAGGGTAAAAGCAGAACAGACTATAAAGACAGCTGAAAGTTCATTTTTAAACCACATTTTGGTTATAATAGAACAAAAATAATCCTATTTTCCGATATTTTTAAGAAATGTTGTAACAAAACCACACACTATTCATCTGGAAAATAACTGCTAAAAGCATTGAAAGACGTAATTTCTGAGCAGTAAAATGATAAACCTGATGCTTACTACAAACTCCACCAAAATACCACTTGATCAAAGTTTAAACTTTGGGAAAATAAATAAAAGCTATAAATCTGTGCAGTCTTTAAAATAGTTCATGTTCTCTTCCTCACAGTTCCATTCATTTTATTTTCATAAGTGCACAGAATTGAAAATAAACCTTCTTAAGAAATATTATATCTGCAT